TTATTGCTTAAGGCCGTTTGTGTGCCACGGCCCACACTTCCCTTAACTTAAGTCTTACTGCTTCAGTTTTTTCGTGTGTTTGGACATTCAAGCTGGAAACACAAAAACTTTAGATCCGATCGCCAATGAGTCCCAGTCTACTAAAAAATTGACTAATCACAGTCGCGTATTCTACTCATACTTGACCGTGATTGGTCAATTTCTCAAGACATAGGGCTTAAATCATCTATTGTAGACTGGGACTAACAACTGATTGTAGACCGGGCCTAAGACTTAAGAATTTCAATCAGTCGGGACTTTCGGCGTTGCTTAAGTTCAAGATGGCTGCTTACGTTCTCGACTCCCATTGGTCGTTTTCGGTTAGCAATGAGTTTTGCCGCTTAAAATTTTTTCGCGTGTTCGGGCCCTAATTCTGTCCGGACGTGCGCGCGTACTGTACGTGCGTGTGTTTTGGTCGCAGCGATGAAGTAACGTTACGAGTTCCGACGAGCCGCTCGCGCTCTCACTTTCTCCGAATCCGAATCGCGAGTAGAAGCTGAAGCGTGCCGAAACGAGTTTCGCCGGAGGAAAGCATTTATCGAGGACCGGGGGGGGGGGGCCCTCCCCCGATAATTACGGCGCATCGCGCTCCCGAATGGAGAACTCCTAAACGGAGTCGTTTAGCTGTTAAAAACCGGCCTCCTGAGGATCTACGAAACATTGTCGGCTTTACATTTAACGAGCGCGTAAATCTCTCGCTCGATGAAGAATAACAAGTCCCCACCCGAGGTATTCAAATTCACCGGCTCAGTTTCGTCGAATAAAAAACCGTATAAAATATAATGTAAAAACGTCGAGACGCTGATCCTTGCCAATTCCCGGCCGGAGAGCTCGCATTAATTAAATCTCCTGCATTAACCCCCGCGAAAAAAATCTCGTTTTGTATTCAAATGTAGAGAAATGACAAAGATATTGTCAAGAATTATTAACGTTCTGTTAGATTTTGTGGTATTAAACGTAACTTAATAAGCAAAGTCGTCGCCACTGCTCCCACTCAATGTGTCGTTAATTTAATTAAACAACAGAGTTCAAAGAAACCTTAAAAGGAATCGAATAAAAGATATGGCTGTTTTCTTGACTACCATTCATGTTAAAATAATAGATTCAGCTGCACGCGGTAGTTAAGAATAACAACATTTTAAGTAGGCGTAGTGGCGATTGCTCATCGAGTTAAATTTAACGCTACAAAACATTTAACAGCGTATTGTTAGATAAAACAAGATTGTACAAAATAAAATAAGATTAAACAGTCGAGTGGACTTCGCCGCGCCGTACAGGCGCGTTCATTACTTGATTAGATGGCCGATACGTTAAACACAGATTAATTAATAAGCACAGTCGGACAGAGATCCGCGAAACTGGCCGCTGAAACCCGTGACGCGACCTGGGTCAACCCACCCCGACCTATCTCTCCACTGGGCTTCCTCCTAGATCTTTCGCGCTACACGCGGGTCGCCGACCGGGCTCCTCGCGGGATCAGTCGCTGGGAAATTTCGTCTCGACGTTGAGCCAACGTGAATCTCGCCCCGGGACTAACGTCATCTCACGCACGCACGCACGAACGTTTATCATTTTCCACAATTTCCTTAAGAGTTGTCGATTACGCGGGCAGGTCGGGCCACTCGAGAGAGTGGAGTAGCGTGACCTTGCCCGAAGGGGGCCGCTGTCTCTCCTTAGAAGAGGCGACGTCGGCGTCCGGATCGGCGTCGTCGACGTCGTCCGATCAATATACACGGTGGCGGCGAAAGGACGCGTGCGCGCCGCGGGGTAGGCCGACCCCGGGGTCCCGAGAGCCGTCAGACTACGAAGAGACGAGTAACCACTCTAGTTGCGCTAGCGAGAGGCCGACCTCCTCAGCTCTCTCTCTCTCTCTCTCTTTCTCACACGCACACACACACACGCTCGTACTCGCTCGCTCGTACTCTCGTTCTCTCAACGAAACTACCCCCTGCGCGAGAATCGATTCCTCTCTCGGCAACGCGACAGACCTGCTCTACTTTTTCCACTCTCTTTCTCTCTCTCTCTGTCTCTCTCGCTCGCTCGCTCTCTCTCTCTCTCCTCTCCTCTCTCTCTCTCTCTCTTTCTCCGAACCTCATCCCTCTCCGACGTATCTCTCCGCTCCACGAGGGTGCCCGTTGGAGAAGAGGAAGAAAGTCTGGATACACCTGGAGATCAACGACAGCAGCCGCGTCACCGTCGCAAATCACGACTTATGCGTCTGTACCGAGCAGGTAACCCTACCCGTTTCCGGTGCGCGCATCTCCACGAGGGTATCGGTTCCCCTCCCCATCCCCCTCGTACGCGATCACCGCCACCGCGATTAACCGACCGATTTACAATTGGATCATTGTCGCGTAACGGGAAGGTGAGAGTTCTCCGCGACTCCATGCGTGAGTGTCAAGTTTGGCACGTTCCGCTCCGACGTCCGTTACCCCGGAAGGAAAGTTCTATTGTTGAATTGCGGAGGGGTGGAGGGGTGGCATTCGAATTAATCGCCCCGATTAATTCACGGCGGCCAATCTTCGCGGGTACGCGACGCCTTTGTCCAAGTGCAATTCATGCCCGGTCTTAAAAGAGTCGCCGCTGCGCCCCGGGAGCGCCTTGAGGTGTCTTGTAGCCACGAATGCGCCGCTTATAGCACCGTAAATGGAGCGCAAGGATCAATATTAATAACGCGCCGAGAGTTATTGTAAACAACAGGCCGCCGGCTGCAATCGGGCGCGGAATTACACACCGCTTGCGCACCGCGATTGAAACACGATCGTCCTTGGCGAGTCGCGCTCTCGGATATCTCGGATTGCTAAATCGATAAAGGATGCGTCCCACGAGAGGCACCGTGTTCTTTACAGTGTTACAAGCGGGACATTTATTTAATTGCCCGACAACCGTACGCTCCCCCGTGCGTGGCGAACTTTCGATCGGTCCCGCGAAACGATCGTGCGCGAATGAGGAGCGATCCATCGCTCGCCAGGCGAGCCTACGTGAACAATTTGTCGTCGCAAAAACTGCCTTAGTGTTATCGTACAGCGAGTATCGTTACTTAAGCCTAATCTACAATGTGCTCTCTGCGCCTAGAAACATTCTATTTCGTAGTCAATAAATGCGTTTACAAAATTTCCGCAAGTTGATAAATTGTATAATCGTACATTGTCGACAAAGTTTTCAAGCGTTTCGATTTGTTTATATAAAGTAGAAGGTTTCTAGATGTAGAAAGCACATTGTAGATTAGGCTTTAGGGTCTATCCAGGCAAACTTGCATAGCACATAAACGTGTGCATGAGGAATCTGGTTGGGCCATAAGTGTATGCATAACGAAACCAATCAATTTCTTTATGCATATGCCTGTGCACTTGTGCAAGTTTGTCTGGACAGACCCTCAAGTCTAGTCTACAATGTGTTTTTCGCAACGAGAAACATTCTATTTTATACAGGCAAATCGATATGCTTAAAAAAATTTGTCGACAACGCACGATTGTGTAATGTAAATATAATATACAGTTCGTCAACACGCACAAATATTTTAAGCGCGTTTATCGGCTATAAAATAAAATGTTTCCAGACGCACAGAACACATTGTAGATCGGGCTTTAAACTTGCACAGCGCATAAACGTATGCACGAGGAATCTAATTGGACCATAAGTGCACGCATAAGGAAATAGATCGATCAGTTGTTTTACGCATATGCTTATGCACCTATGCAAGTTTGTCTAGATAGACCCTTGGAAGACATAGACGGAATTGATCGAATAAGCAACACGTTCGAGCAAGTCCGGGGAAAAAATCGAGTTACGTCGCGAACATATGTTTTGTTTCCGAGCAGCAGCTTATACCCGGTTAATTCGTCGTGTCGCACTTCCGTGCGTCACGCACACTTGGAGCGAGCCTTCATTTATCGCGACGGCATTTGTTCGATTATCGAGAGAGGGCAAATCTGCTCGTCGTCGTTTTCGCAACCTCGTTCAGTCCGCCTTGGCGATCGCGTCCCCGCTATCATGCTCCTGGTACGATCCGTCCCGCGCGAAAATCGTCCGAATGATCGTTAGCAGAGCGTAGCCAGATGAAACGTACACCGGTCCCATGACCAGCCGTCCGTCCGGAAAATTGTCCCGAGTCTCGTCCTCATGGTTTTGCATCACTCGCGAATGCTTTTAGCAGACCACTAAGTCGTATGGATAAGCGGCAGCCCGCAGGGTTCTTCCTTCGCGCCCGAGACACACCTTTGATCCTGCAATTAAAATGATCCCAATGAGATCGAGGTTAAAGGGAAAAAAAACGAGAACAAGAATAATATTTTATCTTGATTAAAATTGCAGATAAAGTCGCACCAGACGGTATTTTAAGTGAATACAAATGTCTTGATTTCCAACTCTAAATGACTTCTCGACTTAAAAGGCTCCATTTTTCTCTCTAAAGTGCAATATTATCAAGTGTTAAAATTAATTCAAAATAAATAAGCCCTTTTAATTTCCTTCTCTCCAAATTTGAAGCAAGATTTTTACTTCCGACTTGCTCTAAATGTATCCTGAATATATATAATAAAAATAATATTTCTCAAAGTTATGTTGGCAACGGAGTAGCATACAGAAAAATTAACGTTGCGAAAGTTGCAATCCACCGCAAAAATCGAAAATCAATAAACTGGACAGCTTCAAGATCGCGTTTGCTCTTCTTGCAGAAACATCCAGGATATCATCCAGAGGGAAAGGATCGGCGTGTAGCAAAGGCGGCGGCGACAGTAGGACACTATTATTCGACTGGCGATCATCAAACGGCAACACCATCACCACCCACGACCATTTGTTCCCGTGCGACGAGTTAACCGGCGAGTTAACGTCCACATCACCAACCTGGTACCACCGATTGCCAGGCTTTCTTTCTACGGCGACCAGCGACGGACAGGCAGCGTGTATGATCATTGAGGACTACCCCCCTACCCCACCCGCCACCGCCAAACCGAGGCAACACCCGAGGCATCAAGATACCACCCAACGATTCCTAAACCTCCACCTGGTCCTGCCCAAGCACAGGACCTCAAAATTTTCCAGGTTTGTCAGTCAGTCTGGTTAGTGTCATTTTTTTTATCTTTAATTTTGTCGATCAAATTGATAGCGTCTTTAGAAAGTGTACTGTAATTCCTGCTCAAATCTGGCATTCTAAGAAAAGGGGACATTAAAAGGGAGGGGGACGTTGAGGCAATTGGAAAAGAATTGTGTCTATTGAAATACAACGTTGTTACAAAAAGCCCAACAGCTTCATTTAATACTGATTAAAGATTAAAGATCAGTAGCAGTTTGAGTTACTGCGGTGTTAAAGGTGAGTTTCTTCTTCTTTACAGTAATAGGCATCGGAAGTTACAGCCATTCAGAGAAACGTGACTGGCGTCAGCGGGTAGCGGCGCGGCACGCCTTACCGCTAATAAGGACTACAAGCCTGAGAAGAGGAAGTACCACCCTGACTCGACACGCCGCTGTTACGAGCTACCACGAGCAGGTAGCGTCCATTGCCTGCTACTGGCTACCGCCGGCTACCAAACTGCCGCTGGCTGGAAACGTGCGACAGCGGGGATCTAGAAGAACCAGGACGAAGACGTTGCCCACCTGAGAAAGAGGAGAAAGAAAGATCGAGCTGGAACAGATCCAACGACATCTCGCGAGCTGTTTAAGGGCCGATCTTTTCGTTGCGATTCGTTAATACTTTCACAACGACGTCTCGTCAGAGATCACGGAAGTCGATCGGAGAAGTTAAGTTCGTTAAGAGCAAGAGAAGACGGAAACATCATTCACCATGGGGAGCTTGAACGTCAATCGCAATGTCAGCGACGCCTTTTATCGCTACAAGATGCCGCGGATCCAGGCGAAGGTGGAAGGCAAGGGGAACGGTATTAAGACGGTGATCGTTAATATGGTGGATGTGGCGAAGGCGATCGGTCGTCCGGCTACGTACCCGACCAAGTATTTCGGTTGCGAGTTGGGCGCCCAGACGCAGTTCGACTTCAAAAACGAGCGTTTCATCGTCAACGGCTCGCACGACGCGACGAAGCTGCAGGACCTGCTGGATGGTTTCATCCGAAAGTATGTCCTTTGCCCGGCCTGCGACAATCCGGAGACCGAATTGATGGTTAGCTCGAAGAAAGGCACGATCTCGCAGGGTTGCAAGGCGTGCGGACATCATGGCCTTCTTGAGAGTAATCATAAGTTGAACACGTACATCCTGAAAAACCCGCCGAGCTTGAATCCGGCGGTGCAGGGCAGCTCATTGACGGAGGGTAAACGCGGCAAACGCTCGAAACGCGCCAATGGCGACGCCTCGACTACGATCGCCGTGGCCACGGCCACCACTAACGGCAACGATCGATCTGGCTCGCCGGAAAATGACGTCAACAACTCTGCAGACATCGTGGTAGAACCACCGCCGGAGAGAACAATCAACGACGACGATAAATGGGCGGTGGATGTGTCCGAGGAGGCGGTCAGAGCTCGTCTCCAAGACCTGACGGATGGTGCGAAAGGTATGACCATCAGCGATGACCTCGACAAGAGCGAAAAGGAGCGCATGGACATGTTCTACAAACTGGTTAAGTGCCGTCGCGACGCCGGCCAGCTCGACAACAATCACAAGGAGCTCGTAGCCGAGGCAGAACGTCTCGAGGTTAAGACCAAGGCGCCGTTGATCCTTGCCGAGTTGCTGTTCGACCAGGGAATCGCCGCACAGGCGAAAAAATATCGGGTGCTACTGCTGCGCTTCACTCACGACGACATTAAGGCGCAGAAATATTTGATCAGGGGAATCGAGCAGGTGATCGCGCTGCATAAGGATGCGCTCATGCCAAAGGTTCCCGGAATCCTCAAGGTAAAAAGAATTAACTCCTTGGCAGTCGTTAGGAGATATCTGGAAAAATATTATTAGAAAATTGAATAAAGAAATATTAATATATGTAATTCTTAGATATCGCCATTGGCTTGTTACGTTACTTAAAATATTTGCACTCCTAGTTGTTTTACGACGCTGATATCCTGGAGGAGAAGGCGTTCGATGAGTGGTCGAGTAAAGTCAGCAAGAAGTACGTCTCAAAGGACCTGTCGCAAGAGATACACGATCGAGCCGCTCCATTTTTAACATGGTTGAAAGTTGCCGAGGAAGAGGAGTCTGAATCCGAGGAAGAAGATGACGATGTGCAGGTAATCTCTTGTGTTTCTGAGAAATAAAGAGAAGAGAAATGCTATTCATTTTATTAAGTTTTTCTATTACTAATTAAGTATAATAAAAGCTTCTCTTGTTTTACTTATTTATTCGGTTAATCCACTTAATTTCAATGCCCTGTTTATAAATTTTTGTCTTTATCCCTGCATTATTTATACTCTTCAAACTATTTTCGTACACTAACTTTATTATGGCATGTGTTTGATGTTAAAAATTTTTCATTTTAGATCGAATACGACGATAGAGCCAAGCAGGAATCCCTGAAAAAGCAGCCGCCGGCCACGCCAAAACCTGCCGCCGCCACCACAGTCGCTGCCGCCGTAAACAATGATTCCGAGGATGACTTCGATATCGATGCCATTTAAAGCATATGCATACACCGTATACACACCATCCACCCAACACACGTACTACACACATACACAAGCGCGACGGATAACAAGAAACACTGGTCCGAGCCGTAATATCCGGGATGGATAATCATTTTCCTCTCAAACAGCATCGTGCAAATGCAATCTCAAGTTATACGCAAATAGATATAGGATTTTCGTTGTTTTAGACTGATGAGAAACGACATAATTGAATGCCGTTGACACGTGAATGAAGAAAGAAAGAAAGGGAAAAAAAAGAAGGAGAGAGAGAAAGAAATTTTAACCGTTCCTAAGAGTTTAGCGTGATTTATCTATGTACAGTATATTCGCAATACTTTTAATTGTTTTAACGATGCAAATATGCATTTATCAGAAGATAATTTCCTTAATATCGTTATCGACACTTTTTAATGGTGCGCGTATATCTTGAAATGCATCCATTTCAGGTAAAAGAAGACATTCATAGAGTTCATGAGCATTACTGGGAAATTGGCCTGCTAAAAGCATTCTTTATTGTATTTACCTATTCTAATTATTATCCAAATAAATATGGTTTATTGCAATGATCACCCGACGTCTCCATTCTTTGCAGCTAACAGAATAATAGATACGTCATTGTAACTGTAGTATACAAATGTAGTGTTAATCCCTTAATAAGGACATTTACATTTGTCGATTAATCGGTTGTAACAATGATGAATCAGTAATGTTGCAGAATTGCCGAGCCGATCCATGTTTTAGTGTTGGTAATGTAAAGAGTGACTGGCTTGGTGACTCGATTAGAACTAAACTCCGAGATCGTTGGAGACTACGACAGACTGAGGCAACAGGATCAATTAGCCACTCAGAAACTGAAGGACTAATTGGCTGCGAGACACCGAACACGGCGAAGTTGTGGCGTTGAGCGACCACCTGGAGAAAATTATTTCCAAGATAAAATCCCTGTACGCTCGCTCACTGAAAATAATAAAGAGAAGGGACTCGGCCCATATAAAATGTGACATTAATATATTTGACCAAATGTAAAGATGGGATAAAAATTTGAAGAAGCGACTGAAAGATACGTGTTTTATGTTTAGCATTATTGAATAGTTTGGATCCGCAGGACGAGTATGCTGATTACAAGGAGAAGTACCGTCGCGCTTTTACACAAATTTGAAAACTTGAAGCGTCAAGCGACATGGAAATACCTTGGTAATAATTAATTTCAAAAAGAGATTGTCAATTTTCGAGTATATACTCTTGACGAAAGTTTCACTTGATCAAACTTGGTCAAAATTTCTAATCAAAAGAACAATAAGCTAAACTGTATATCCCCTCAGCTATTTTAAGAGAAATGTTCGAAACTGGAGCACACGTTCATCAAAAGGATAACGAGTGTCGTAAAGTCCAATGTCCACGATGCTAGAACTTGGTCCAAGTTCTAG